CCCAGGCAGAACCCCCGCGCCGAACGCGTCCCCGTGGCGGGCAGCCGGCCGTAGGGGACCGCTCCCAGCAGCGACGAGTGGGACACAGATCCTCCTTCCCGTTAGCACGGACGCGCTGGGGACCGAGGGCGGGCAGAGCCCACCGACGGCCACCGGAGATCCAGGGAGGCGAGGAGATCTCGCTCTGTTCAACGTGACGACCTGTTGTAGGGACTAGGCATGTTTCTGAATAAATTTATTTCTAATTCCCCAATCTGTTACCAAAAGAAGAGGTGACGTAATGATGACTGAAGTATTACAGGCTTCATCGCAGGATTACAGGAGGGAATGATCTCGATTAAGTGCAAATGGCCATAAAAATAGCAAAGTGCAACGAGATTACAGTGTGAGTTTCTCACAGGGTATTTGGGGAGAGCAGGTAAGGAAGCAAAAAAAAATTAGGTGCTAGAGAAAATGTTAATTAACTTTCCCTTTCAGTTCATATTAATGCATTACGTTTTACGTTGTTCTTAAAAGTGAATTTTAAAAAAATTACTAATTCTCCCAAACTAGAAGCATCACTTAGGAAAGGCTAAATGTGGTGACTGATCCTGAACATCCTCGAGCTTGGAAATTTCTATGAGATTCAGAACTTGTGCTTTAAACAAAGATCAGCAGCAACATACGTAACCTCTCCACAAACCTCAGCCTCCCTAACACCGCAAAGAGGTGTCTTGGCACAACCTCTGTTTTTAAATTTGCACAGGACAGATCTACGTCAAGGGAAAGGGCTCCTAAGCTCAGGTTTGGGTTCGGTTCAGAAGGAGCGCACGGTTTACAAAGACTCTAAAGCCTCGCACGACGACATCAGCAGCCTGGCTCAGTTATGCTTAACCCTGGTTTGCTAAAACACACACCTACCTCCCCACAACAGCAAGAAGAAAAGCACCGAGCGGAGTGACAAGCTAGGGCACACAGACCATGATGTCTCACGCCATGAGATACGCACAGGAAAAGATTTAAAGTATTCCCGGGGCTGGAGCTGCGAGCAGAGAGCTGCGGCCGAGCCAGCCCAGCGTCCGGCCGCGCAGAGCATCCTCCCCCCGCCCAAAACACCTCCCCAGCCTGGCACCAAAGGGTCTTTTTCAAATTTCAGGGTCGTTCCACAATTTTCAGAGACTCCAGGAGGGAAACTGAAAAAACAGAGTGTCCTGGTTTCGGCTGGGGACTCCAAGTCACAGGGAACGAATCCCCAGGAGCAGTTATCAAGTACACTTCCAGGGCACGGGTACTTTCAAAGGATAATAAAGAATGCATAGGACTGAATTTAAAATGGAAGAAAACTCCCTAGAAAGGCCATCTTGCACGGCAGCTGATCAAGTTTTCACTAAGGAGCCTTCATGCACCAAGACTGCTGCAAGCATCAGAGGCTTTGCCATCGCGAGGGTTCCTTCACACCACTCAGCACACACCGCTCT